AAAGCTTATCACTGTAGCACGCATGGACGTACGTATATGCACTATTACTCATGTTGTAAACTTTGTCAGCCTCTTTTTTCCAAAACACGTTAGATTCAAGCACTTACCGTGTATATATAGTTATTGTATTGCTAATGTTATTTTATATCTATTTTTATTATATCGTTTTTAATCCGGTTTATTATTTTTTTTCGGTGCTACTAATACAGAATAAGAATACGTGACGCGCGTATGTCCGAAAATGGTGGCATGGATATGGGTCACTTGATATGGCGTCTTGCCAATAATAAATGAGTTGGACCCCTGAAATGTAATCATGGCGTTATATGTTTGTTTTTGCGTGCTCCATATTGATTTATCATCAGATGAAAATACGTCATTCTATGAAATTGAGAATGGAAAAAGCACAAGCTTGTGACATGACTGATTAGCGTTTGCTTTTTTACCTTCTCCACTGTTCTACTCCACATCTTATTGTCATGTGTCTGATGTTTGAACAAATGTGGGAAATTATTATTATGGGGGATGGAAATGGGGAAGAAAGAATGGGTTAGTGGGTTTGTGGGTTTGTGGGTTAATGAGCTTGTTGATGGCATTAGAACTTTTTTGTAACTTGCGCACTGATATTTTTGTTGATTTTTGGTTTCTCCACTCGTTTCTCCTGACGGTCGATGGGACGGTAAAAGGTACAATACAATGGAGCGAGTGGAGTGATATTAAACAAGGGCATGGAGCAAATAAGCAAGCGATTATCTATCCAATAAACAACAACAATTAAGACAATGCACACACACACACAAATACATGTTATGTAATATAACATCATATATAAATGAGAAAATGCTTGGGATAAAGTTGACGAATAACATGTCGTTATTATCGTTGTTATCGTCGTTATTGTTATTGTTGTTGTGTTGTTGTGTTGTTGTGTTGTTGTGTTGTTGTGTTATCGTTGTTATCGTTTGTTATCGTTTGTTGTCCTTGTTGTCCTTGTTGTTGTCTCATTTACTATTATATCTAGTTTGGAAGTTTTTCCAGTCCCAAAACTTTAGCGCTTTATGGGTTCTTTGTGCGAGTTGTACGGAATGTTTCGGGAAGAAAGGAAAAATATTTGAATGTGGTACGCCCACCCAATGTAAATAATTTAAGATGGATAAAATAGAATGGGAGATGTTTTATTAATTATGTATGTCTATGAAGTATACATGTTATGGAGATGATTTTCTGTCTCACCGGTTCTAAGCCATTTATTTGTGTTATTACGGCCTGTTAACACGAATCCAATCAAACCAAATACTGGAGTATCGTTAGTATTACGATGTGATTAGTGATTATATAACTATGGTTGTGATTATATCCCCCAGAGTGAACTTTATCACAATGTATTTTAATAGTTTTTGAAAAATTTATCTTAAATATATGTATAATGTATGCAAGAGTCATATGCTCGCTTTGAACTTCTTTTTGGTTTATCCAAAGAAAGCAGTCGTTTTTCGCCAAATCTGTGCTAGATCGTAGGAAAGGTAGGAGTGAATAGTTGATAGAGATTTTTGTCTCTTTCCCCCCTCCCCCAAAGTCAAATCATCGTTCGAATAATAGTAATGCAAAAAAAAACTGTTTGTTTCATGAATTATTTTAGTCGACAATACTTAAACCCCCTCCTTTCTCTCCTCCTCGTTCCCCAATCCATAGACAACGGATCGGGTCACCTCAACACAGTGAAATTTGCGACAATTATAGAACATATTGGGATGGGGGGGCGTTATAGTTGAATTGTATAAATTAATGGGTCATGTGAGGACATATGTTTATCAGCTTGATATATTTTCATATCATTACCGTTATTGGACAGAGATGTACTTACCACGTTTTCTGGATTGGCCGAGTTGAGTACCATACGAAAAAAAAAAAAAAAAGAAACGAACGAACGGATTAGAAGAAATAAGAACTGCCCAGATGGTGCGTGAGCAGGACAGCTGTATGGATTAGGAATAGAGCGAAACCCATGTTGGTTGAAATCGAATTTAATTTTGTATCCTAATTTTGCAATTTGTTTTCAACATGTGTTTGCCCTCCGTCCGAGAAATACGCTGGGTTGACAGATAACAAACATAACACATATCAATCACATAACGCAATAATACACGGAGAACGTATATCACATAACATATATGTAACATAACACATAGCTAGTAAATAGCACATCACATAGTAAATAGCACATATAACACATATAGATATAACACATAGCATATTACATAGAACACATAGCGTATGACATATAACACATATACATATAACACACATAACACACATATAACACATATAATACATATAATACATACACATAATACATAACATATAGACACTAGCATATATAACACAAGTGTCATATCATATCATTCATTGACAAAACGCCGTTAATAATAATAATAATTTTTGATTTTATATTTTTCCCAACATCCCACTTTTTTTTTCAAAAGGGATATTGTCGAAAGGGGGGGAGGCTGCATGTGTATCCTATGATGTCATTGACGCTAACGTAATGATGTAATAATATTAGACACTGTGCAATTTCTATTTCGAGAGACATGGTTACTATTTTGATAAACACAAACATCAATGGGATTTACGCTTTGGGTAAAATGTCATAATTCATCGTATGGCTTGGAAATACCCTACCGTATATTCGGGAAGTAAATATGTATGCGGCGTATGATCTTGTAAATCTTATATATCCGGCGGTATTTATAATAATATGTGATACCAACCATCGGGCAAACTATTCATTAAAATTTTCCAACCTTTCCATGTGTGCGTACACATTACGAGCACTAATACGTATACTACAACATTACGACACAGCGTTACAACGCTACAGCGCTACAAATATGATAACGCTACAAACACTATAATATTATGACACTACAACACTTTAATATCACAGCACTAAAAGTCTCTCATGCTCTTTCTGTCCACTGTTCTCGGTTCTCTAACCCTTGCTTTTCTCTCTCTCACGCTCAACGGGTACATTCTTTCTCCTCTTTTCCATTTTTAAAAAAGTCTGGGTACGTTCCAAATTCTTTCAATTGTCTAATAATTTCCTAATTGAACAACCAATACACTCGCAATAATCACATTAGAAATTAAAAACATACAAGCAGCTAACTGTGTATATTAATTGATTCGCTGCAATCCATAAAATCCTTATTAATCTGTCCGTTCGCTGTATTCCCAAAGATAAAAAGGGGGGCAGGAGAGGGGACGAAGGGAGGGAAGAGCCGGAAGAGGGGAGGGGGGGGGGGGATGCAAGTCGTATAAACAAACAGATAGCATAGAGTATCGGTATCATTAAAATGCATTTTGGCAGGCTCGATTGGACGGGGAGAAAAAAAAACGAGTCGATAAACTATTTCATATTTGGCAGTTATTTTATCGGACTATCAGAATTATTGGTGTTGATGATTGTTACACCACACCGGTTTGTAATGATTGATTGCATGTTTGACTCTGAGAAAAAAAGGGCCTGCAAGCCAGTAATTTGTTACGTCACAGTCGGCCGGATTTCTCCGTCTTTTTTTACTGATCGGAAAAAATATTCATAATCGTTATCTCTGTGATCTGAGCGTTTGGGCAGTTTTATTAGATTAAATTTCGTTGTGTGCAAGTCAATCGATTCCATACAGCACAGGTATTTACAATGATGTACTAATAGCCACATTGAATGACGTCCGAGATAGAGTAATGACATCACAGGATCACTGAGGGGGAGACCATGGGCTGGTTTTTTGCCGACCTCCGGAGAGAGCGAGAGCGAAAGGGAACTAGGGCAAAATTGTCCTAGATGGACAACTTAATATTTCCTAGTTACACATTAATAATGCATTACAAGCTTTGCCGCTTAAATTTGTCACGATATTACTAATCTTATCGACAATCACATTTTGTTATATCGGGCGTTCACGTGAGAGCATCTATAGTCACTGTCACAATCAAAAATCCCTGCTGCGTAGATATTAAAACAAATCATAGTAGAACGCTAATTACGTCACTCTACTCCGGAACTACAGCCATTCACAGTTTCATTCGTTGTCTGAAAAGCAAGATATAAATACAACGGTAAATTTTCAGCCAAAGGAACCAAGTGCAACAAAGAAACGTACAAGCATGGAAATTTTTATATTATTATTATTATTTATTACAGTCAGACTAATACTAAAGAAATTTTAGAGAATTTAGTAAGAGTAAATATACATTAATATGTACAAAAGCGTATTTTGTGATAATAAATAAATAAATAATGAATAAACAAAATTAAAATAAAGTAAAAAGTTACTATGTGTCAGTCATTATGTATTGTTATGTGATATTAAAAATAGTACCTCGCACTCATCCTTTTCACTCACACCTTACACTGCCTTTTTTTACTCTCAACTCGTCACTCTCACTTTACATCTGCGTATAATAAATGTGACAATTAAACATTGTTTGTAACAACTTTATCTTACCCCTCATTCATGTCACAAGAGTTACACTGTAACAAATAGGTAGTGACCCGATTCATTTTCTACAAATGACATCATTTTACAATACTCTGCATTGCCCGAGTAAACATGATGGGATAATCAACTTGATTATATATTCGGGGTAGATTGCTGCTTCAACCTGCAATAAATAGTCTCTCCCACCGTTACTTTTGTTGTCCTTATACTTGCGTCTCATATCTGATTCGTGTTACTATTGAATAATCATAAATACATCCAATTTACCTAGAGCAAAAAAAAAAAAAGAAAAAAAAAGAACGGTTTTTCCTATCGTGATCACATTACTATTCATACCGTTACTTGTTCATCTCCCCCCCATTGTCAAGTCCTACCCTTTTCTTTCTCTCCTCTCGCACTCCCTTCTCCTATATAACGCTGGCCATCCCAAACATTCCTTTTGACTACAAATTGACAAAAACACCAACACATTACCAACATCAACAATAACATTACAAAATGAGCGTAGGCGTAGGATTATACAATTCGCCAACTTGTGAGCTGAAAACCGATCAATCTTCGTACTTTTCGTTGCACATGCCTTCGACATACATATCCAATGACAAGGCATGCGCAGGATATTTTGACGTGGAACCACAAAATGATGGCAAAACTCCTTATTTCGATGCCCAAAAGTGCCAACCTGTCGAGACGCCCTATTTTGACTGCGAACCAGTAGATACTCCGTATTTTGAGGAATTGAAGAGGAAATCTGAAGCAAGACTCAATGGCGGAGTTGATGGCAGTCTAAACGTTTTTGACAATTTCTTTAGCGGCAACGATAGCAACAGTAACAGTGACGGCAACAACAGTAACAACAACAACAGCAACAACAACAGCAACAACAGCAGTAACAACAGCAGTAACAGCAGCAGCTACAACAATAGTAACGGCAGCAATAGCTCTAGCTCTAGCTCTAATTTTAATTTTAATTTTAATAATGCTTGTAATAGTTTCCATAGTAATATTAATAATACATTTTACGACGAATCCCAATTTCCAAGTTCAAGACCACCGGTCTTTACAGCGAGTTCGACTCCAGCATGCACGTCCTTTTGCACTTCAAACAATACCCTCGAATGGTTGAGGACCGCGTCTCTGCATTCGTCGCTCCCCCGATCCAAGTTGCTCAGACAACCCAACAAGCCTTCCGTCCGACCTTCGTTGCAATCACTGACTTGCACCGCCGCATCACCGCCCGCCCAGTCATTTCACATCGTTTCCGCTAACGATTTGGCCGACCTAATCAGGCGACAGGCATTGAACGAATCTTTGGGAAAGACGTTTACAAATTCCGTCATTCTCTTGCTCGACCTTCGAGCCTTTTCCCAATTCGCTGAAAACCATATCCGCATGGCTGTCAACATTTGTGTTCCTTCGACTTTGCTCCGCAGAGGCTCGTTCACGCTCGACAAGGTGTGTGACATGCTCGTCAGTGACTATGACAAGCAGGTCTTTGGCGAATGGGAGAAATTCGAGAATATCGTCTTATACGACAGTGATACGCAAGACCTAAAGGAGGGTTGTTCTCTGACCCATTTGTGCAAGAAATTCAAATTGTCTGGTTGCAAAGCAAACATTGGGTGGTTGAAAGGTAAGATTAACGCATATTTTAACTGTAATATATTTTATTATACATACATATATTTTAATTATGTGTGGTTTGTTATTCCTTTTTGCTTTGCCTTTTTCATTTCAAAGACAAGATGTTAGCGTCTTTTTTCACTCGCTTATGCGTATATTCGTTACAATACATTTATGACGTTATAGCCATGACAATAATTATATAATTAGTCGCAATGTAAATGCAGTTAAAGCCACGTCTAATTTAGCCGGACAACTGACGACATAGATGAGACGTTTGCCTACGTCACTACTAGCATTGATGTAATATTTCCATATTAGTATAGCATAGTTTTTGAACATGACTATATTGTTAATTTCGACATTCTATTAACCGTGCGTATTTATAACATCCCATCTCCATCCCTCAGGCGGCTTCATGGCATTCTGCTCCAAGTACACTGATCTCTGCGAACACACTGAAAGTATACCATCCGCGTTCCCACGCCGAACCTTCTCTGCACCAGCACTCATGCGAAAACCCGGAGCATTCACCTGTCCAACTCCTGTTATTGAAATCGACGGCGTGAATCCCTTTTTCTCAAACATAAGGCAGAACTACGAGCTGATTGGAGGAATAACAGAAAAAATTCCCGTAAGATTTCCGGAAGGAGTTCGATTTGAAGCGAACGACTTACCGGCATTTTTGAGGGATATTTGTTCGGAAAATGGAGGGAAAGATCGGCTAGCCGAGGCGTTTTACGTGAGTAGTACTAAACAGCTAATATGGCGAAGAGTCCAACCCACGGTCAAAAACTAAACTAAACATGTGACTGCCATTTCTTAACATACAGGATATTGAACGCACGGAACAACGTCGACTTCAGTCGTTGATGCTTCAGAATGCCAACAAGCCAACGGCAGACTTTGCATATTCGATTTCTGCGGGTATAGAAAAGGGCACGAAAAACCGCTACAATAACATTTGGCCGTATGACCATGCCAGAGTTAAGCTTGGCGCGTGTAAAGGTGAATGCGACTATATCAATGCGAGCTACGTTCAAGCAGACGAATCGACCACAAGATACATTGCAACACAAGGACCCATGCCAGCTACATATGAAGATTTTTGGAAAGTTGTCTGGGAGCAGAATTGTTCGGTCATTGTTATGTTGACTAAAGAAGAAGAAGCTGGAAGGGTGAGTAAAAAACAAGACATTTCGAGTTTGACACAAAAGTCTTGCTTTTTACAAAAGGATTTTTTTTTTAATTGGTCCTCATCCTCTCTTTTTCTCTCAACAGATTCAATGTCACAAATATTGGAGCGACTGTCCCAAGACGGCTTGCAAATTCGGCAAATTGTCTCTTTTAAACGTTTCCGAAAACACTTTGCGCGACAACACTGGCGCTTCAGTAATAATACGCAAGTTTTCTCTAACGAATTCGGACCATGCCAACGTCCCACCTCGCATAATAACCCAACTGCATTTTCTCGTATGGCCCGATTTCGGCGTTCCCGATTGCCCGTTGCAGTTATTGCGTCTCATCAACATGGCCAACCAGTGCCAGGCCGAGTCTGGAAATACCGGACCTATGGTCGTACACTGTTCTGCAGGGTGCGGACGAACCGGTGCGTTCTGCACGGTTGACACGGTTCTGAAAATGTTGAAACAGAACGAGAATATGCGAGATATACAACAAGATGTGATCAAATACGTCGTTGAAAAGTTTAGAGAACAGAGATTGAGCATGGTTCAGAACTTGAGACAATTTGTGTTTTGTTACGAGGCGGTCATCTGGGCTTTATTAGGAGCGGCGTGATGATGATGATGGTTTTTTTTTACGTTGGTGAGAGGGAAAAAGAAATTGGGGTATGTGTGTTCCCTCTTCTTTCGAGTGGAAAGATGATTTTCAAAAGCTGGATGACTTACGAGTTGGAGTAAGCGAACGTAATAACGTTTATTATTCTATATGAACTGGGATTCGATGGTGAATTAGATTCTCCTCTTCTTCTATTAGATACCCTCCCCCCCTTTTTTTATTTCTTTGTAAATTTATTTGTTCTCTTTCATATACTCCTCAATTCCTACAACGAAAAAAGAAAGTTGATTCACAAAAGACTTTATGAATTAGAAAAGCTATTTCAAAACCAAAAAGTGGTTTATAGCCAATTCCCTTCCAGCAAAGTTAAAAATTTTTTTTACCCTTTTCTATGTAATATATTTCCTCAAACCTCCTCACTTCCTTTTTTTTTTTTTCTTGTGAATTATTTGATCTACTTTATTTGTAACTTGCTGCTTTTTTTATGCCCTGTGAATTAACTATAAAAACGTAGGTTTTGAGGAAAATGACAAAAATATAGGAGACTTAAAAAAATTTATATATATATTACGAACGACAACGTGGATACTTTTTTCTTTGTTGTTTTCGTTTCATTATTTTATTATCTTTTTTTTTTCCTTCCCATTGAATCCTGTCGGTATATTTTTACCTACAAGCAAAAATTAAGCATAGTTTTTGTAGTATGAAATATGCGCAATTCAGTATTTCATATGTTGTGTTGTCTAGTTGTCGTTGATATATTATATATTGATTTAACGACAGCGTCTTTGTAAATAAAAATAAAAATTTCCTCTGCTTCTTTTGACAAACAAAAAACAGTTTGAATTATAATTGATTGCCAATACTTGCAGTTCTAGATCGACGAGATCTCCCATCATCAATTATGTCGCCGTTCCACCCCACACACACAGAAAAATGCTCCAAGGTTTATTTTTTGCCGCCCACTTAAGGTTATGTCATCGTGCATTGTTGTTTGTAATATTGGGCTGAATAGAAAATCGCCCGATTAGAGATTGAAATATCATACGATATATCATCTGATGGGGTTTGTTGATTTTTTCAAGTTAGACTTGAAAGGCTTTTTTTCGCCTAGACATCATCGTAAATTTTAGTGAGTGGTACAAATATCGGGCAAATTCGAGAGACCGTGCACCATGACACATAGATGTCGCAAACGCTTGTCCTACGCTGAGCCATGTGTACAATAAATACATATTGTTCGATAACGCCCTCCCGGTGCCATATGAGATAATCGTCACGGGATTGCGTTTTCGTAATAGTATCGAAGATGGAAAGGAAAATAGTAATTATACAACTCGTGTGGGGGGGCCGCGCCGCCAAGGCGATATGAGTTGTTAATACTTGTTATTATTAAGACCATTCTTATGCTTACTAATCAAATTATTTAATGGGTTTTACAACTTATATTATAACTATTTACTGATCGACAAAGTTAAGGTTCGGCAAACTACAATGCTTTTTGTCGACTTTAATGTGGATGACTAACGTTAATACGCATGTTAATTTTCTGATTTACAATCAAACATTTATTGTTGACGGGTTAAGCCAATAGTTTCCGAGCTCCATTGATGCTAGTGGTGTTATCCACAAATTCTAAGAGGACAACCATCTGCTTACGAACATTTGTTTTGAAATTTTGCCTTATGACACACACGCCAGAGTCGCTCATAGCAGTTACTTGATAAGGGATTCTGACCTCATTGTTGATAACCAAATTTAATGATTGTCCAATCACAATGGTGATAACGAAATTCTCTTATTACGTCACACAGTTTTCGCAATTTAAAACAATGGGGGACCGGCTAAATTTAAGAGTAAGAAAAGACTGACAGGTGGCCATGCGGTAGATGTGCGCAACCTTTTGCAACATAGTTCTTAATTAGGTATGGATACATGATATTCAATTGCGTAATCGGTCTTTATTTATTGTCTTGCGGCTACGGCAATCAGAAAGGGAAACAATTTAAGACAACAAAATGACATTTAATTTTAGCATGCATGATTGTTTACACCGAATAATGTTTTGTTAATAACGAACATAATACAAACAGTGGTTGATGGGGCTTCCGTTATCATTATTAAAAATGAGGCCAAACCATTTTTTGACTTTTAATTAAATATTTCGCGATATTAGCGTTGTTTGATTAGTCATGATAACAGTTCCATATTGGGTTATTGCATAATCCGTAATAATGAGTTGCGTTATCAGAGTGAAACAAAGAAACTCGTCGAATAATAACGTCAAAAAAGTTTAATACTGTATTATTATGATGACACAATATTTACTTATGAAAACATACAGCACTACTTAAAGAGTTGCACATGATAGACCAGTTACGGAATCTGGAAAGAGATAGCCTTGGTACAATAGGAGAAAAAGGTATCTTTTCCCGTGCGAAACAATATTAATATAACGTTAGTGAGAATAAGAAAGAGAGGAACACTGATCAATGTCACTTGGTGATTATCTAGAATAAGGACAAAGGTGATTAAAACAAGTCATGCGTCACATAAGGTCTACCATATCAATGGATGGCCTTTATAGAAATTTTGGTCTTTACGACTATTGCGAAAAGACACAATATACCGTCTAATGCTTAAAAAGTTTCAACACTGAAAAAAGACGGCGGCTTGCTGAAAACAATTTTATTCAAGCACGATAATTTTTCACATAAGCAGATATTTTATTGGGGATGTGACTTTTGTTGTTAGCTATCACACCATATATTGCTATATTTTGACTATATCATCATCATTTAGTTTTAAGAATTATGGAACTTATTGGCAAACTGGAATAAGTATACTTAGGAATAAAAGATGCCAGTCAAACCCATATCTTGCTATGGTAGTGCCAAGAATAATTTTTTTAATGTGCTAAACTTATGTGGAAAAGCCACATTATAATCAGCCATCTTGTTACAATAAACATTTTTAGTGTGGCTGTAAAAAATTTTTAAAATAGTAGTAATAATAATAATAATGGTACTTGTGGACTTGTTAATGTTAACATTAAATCAGTTAACCAGCATTAAGTTGGAATACATGATTAAGGTTAATACAGTATAAGATCGTCTCTATGTAAAAATTAACTAGTTTACTTAAATCCATTATGGAACCGAACCAAAGAATAACAACACCATTGGACAGTTAATATAGTTTTTAAATTAAAATTATTAAGTAAGCACGTTTGCTTTGAATATAATAAAACTTTGCATCGTGAGTCAGCTCATCAAAACATTGCGGATATAACTGATAACTTTATTGCAAACGCAGAACGTTACCTCCTATCCGATAAACTCTAAAGCATATTTCACACTACACATTCATGGTAGTTTGAGATAGTACGTTTAAACTTCAACTTTGCGACTTTAGGTTAATCCAATAAGAGAAATATATCAACAAGACTGGAGAAAGGCATTTGAGTGGCAAACTCTGATTAGAGTGTTAGCAGGCGTATAGATTGTAATGAGTCAGTGATGGCGAAAAAAAGGGGCAGTCACATGATAAATACTGCAGTATGATTGGGTGCCATGCCAGTGTGGCAAGTAAGTCCAAATATATCCAGTGTAAACAAAAAAATTAATCACAACTGTCAAAATAGGCAAACCATATGATACGGCATAATTAGCATAAAGACATCAAAATATAAAGAAAAGCTTTCGCTGTTATC